TAAGGAGTGAGAACGCAGCCACACTGCTCCTTCAGGAAAGTCAAGATCAGAGCACCAAGTTCTATTTAACCCAACCAGTGGACCCAGCGTACAGTGCTATCGTAACTATGATTATTCTAATGCTTAGAAGGTGGTTATGTTAACGGTGAGCACTTCCTGCCAAGGACTGATCTTATACTTTACAGGTATTAGCTCCATTAACCCTCACAACAACCTATGAGGTGGTTATTAATATTAATATGACCTCTTTTTAACTGATAAAGAAACTCAGGCAATCAAGTGACCTGCTCAAGGTCACCCAGCAAGTGGCCAAGACTGGAACTCAGAGCTGATACAGCTAAGGTCACACACTTAACCTTGTACCTAAGGAATGAGCCTGGCCCAGAATAATCTCTACCAATCTGAAAGCCTTCAATGCTGGCATGAGGAAAGGTGTAGATTCCATATGCAAACCCAGTGCAAAGACCCAGGTCTTTGAGGTTGCTTCCGGAAACATTCAGGGCTCTCCGCTCCAGTACCTCACCTTGTACCTGTACCTGTACCTTGAGCTACACACATTCCTCTGTCCGGGTCACATGAACCTCAGTGTGACTGTTTTTGAGAGCTGTTAAAAGGCACTGATTGAAACCATTATGAATAAATCCAATTAAACAAGGGGAGTTTCCCCGGGACACAAAAAGGAGCTGGCTCCCACCTTTAACACACAACAAAGCTGCTAGGCTGCTAAGCAGCGTTGTTCCGTGATGACAAGGACGACTGCTGAAGACTCCACTTCCCGAGCCTCGGCTGCCACGTCCAGAGACCAGTATGTCAAGAGGGGCGGTGCACAGTGAGAGTGCAGTCAAGTTTCAGAGTCAAAGACCTGAGTGCAAATTCTGATCCTGCCTCTCATCGGCTGTGTGATCACAGGCAAGCTGCATGACCTCTCTTAGTTTCCCTGCCTGTAAACACCTACTATAATAACACCTCTCTATTGTGGAAGCTAAATGAGATTATACACAAGAGGTGTCTCACCAAGTGTGTGGTACATTTATGTGTCTCATACTATTTTTATTATTAAAATACACAGTTCTGATCCTCTATGCCTCCCAAATCCTTCTCTCTCCCCCATTAAGGCTCACACTCCTGGATGCCCACCACTGTTTCCCAAGAGGAACACTGACTTATTTAGCTTGATATCTATCTATCTATCTATATATATATATCATCATTTATAAAGAAAAGTATTTTCCTTTTTATAATAACAAATGTACACATATCTTACAAAGTATTTTACTCCTATCCCCTCCTGCTGTCTAAGCCCAATTTGAAAAGATATGATTCCCAACTGCAGTGTGCACTTTTACATTTTAGAATCAGGAGTTCTGCACTCCAAAAGGTCTGTTTAAGTACAGCTACAAAGGGACCTTCCTGGTGGTCCAGTGGTTAAGACTCTACCTTCCAATGCAAGGGGTATGGGTTCGATCCCTGTTCGGGGAATTAAGATCCCATATGCTGCAGGGAGTGTTTTAAACTTGTAAAAAAAAATTTAAAGAAAAAAGTTAAATAAAAAAGGAACAGCTGCAAAGATGAGACCATGTTTAAGCAAGCCAGTTTTGCTGAAGGAAAGAAAAAGAGCCTGAACCATGGTTCTCACATCAAAAAATTGCATCCAAAATGTAATTAAAAAAAAAACAAACAGAACAAATGAAAAAAATCCATCCAGACTGAAGGCACCAATTACAGAGACTTGTCATCTGTTGGAGGAGAAAGACAGGTTCTAGGAGATGCCAGGTTTCACTAACACTGCTGGGAACATCATTTGACCTCCCCCTGTTTCCTCAGTACAGCGTCTGAGGGGAGAAGGTATCTTACCAAAGTAAACTTGCCAGATCCCTAATAAATCCATTTTTTAAAGATTTTTAAAAATCTTAACCTTTCTAGGAAAGAAACAAAAGTAAGGCAGATATACAAAATCAAAACAAATATACGAAATATATCAAATGCAAAACTTGGGCAGATTTTTACTGAATATGTATACACGTGCATATATTTAAACACTATGTAAGTTTTAAACTTACTTAGTCGATAGTGTCAAAGACAGAAGAGATTTCTAAGTATGTAAACCACCTCTGCTGCAGGAGACGAGTTCTTTCATTCAGATGACCCACAATGGAGTATTCTGCTCCTGCGTGTGCAAAGGCATGTCTAACACTTAGGAAACCACATGCGATCCAGGGACTGCTACAATGCTGAAAACAGCTTAGAGCCCATAGCTTCATTCTACTGCTTAAGACAAATAAAATTACAGATTTTCCCCAAACCAGCCAATATCAGCAAAACTGCTCACAGAACTTTCCTCTAGTTTTTTTTCACTCTTCCTCTTTCTAAAACTAAGGCCCAAATGGCCAAGTTCAGTGTATCAGAATCTAGAAAATTACCATGTGGCTTGACTTAAGATATCTTTTATGAACATTTATCATTTATTAACAGCATTAACCTGGTTTAAAAAATGTAATAATGAAAAACATCTTGCTAAGCACCTGTATTTTAAAATGAAATTACAAAACTCTATTAATATAATTTAATAGGTCTAGGTATAAAATATTTAAGGAAGAATGTTAAATAAAACCAAGAAAACATAACCTAAGGGCAAACGCTGAATGAAAATATTGGTAGCTCTTTCTCTTTCTCCCTCCCTCTCTCTCTTTCTGTTTCTTCCCAACCACATACATGGACGTAAACAAATGGATCAAAGAGGAGTTAAAAAAGTTTTCTTTTTAATTTAATTAAAAAGAAACAAAACATGTTCAAATAAACCTGAAAAACAAGTAGCCCTGACCCAACTAGCCCTGACCTCAGCCAATCCGAGTGCCTCTGGACGCTGCCAGAATCTGTCACTGAGCTGGCCGCCTTAGCCAGACGTTCCTGCTAAGCTTCTGCCACAGGAAACGCCGAGGCAGAAGGAAGGGCTTCTGCCAGCACAAGAGCCCATGTGATGATCATGCGGTGTGAACTGAAAACTGGTTACAGTCTCTTGGAATGCAAGAGCCACTTAATTTTGGAAAAATGCAGTTTTCTGGGCTCAGCAGAAACAAAACACATAGAAGAGTGTCTGGACATCTCCCAGTGAATGATTCTGACAGACATGGAGAAGCAGAGCAGAGACTCTTGGGACTGGCAGTCGCAGTCCCTTAAGTCTTAGGACAGGAGACCAATCATTTGACAGCAATATTCAAATTCCTGAAGGGCAAGCAAATTTCCGTACCAGCTCAGTAAAAAAACGTTCTATTCTCTTAAATTCTGAATATTCAGGGAAAAAAAACAAACAATGTAATAGAAATAAATAGGGTTTTTAAAAAACTGACGAAGTGGGTCTCCCAGTTTCTGAGTGCTTTACCTAAACAAGCAAGCAAAGCCACAAATAAGTGTGTGATTCTTTTGGTCATTAAAACTAGTTCCAATTAATAAGTAACACTTTTGTAACACAGTAGTCTGCAAATCTCTTATCTCCAGCCTGAACTCTGGATCTGAACTTTCCACATGATCTCTTTCCCCCCTTTGATGTCTCATGGACACCTCAGCCTTTCAAGAATTAAGACTGGCGTCTCTGCCATTCCTGTCACAGTCACACACACACCCCCACACACACCCTGCTGCTCTTCCTGTGTTCTCCCAACTATGCAGCCTGTCATTCAAGTCAGAGACCTGGGCATCACTCTTGATTCCCTCTTCACTGACCTGGCCCCTTCACACTCAGTCAAGCACCAATCTGCCTCTTCCTACTGCCACTGCCCTAGCTCAGGCTACCACCCTTATGTTTAGTAGTTAAGAGCCTGGGCTTTGGCTTCAGGCTCACTTGCTCAACCATGTATTAATAGGGTGGACTTGGGAAGTCATTCATCACCAGAACCTTAAGTCTCCTGACCTAGAAAATGAAGAAAATAGTAACAACTCACCTCACAGAGTTGTGAGTGAATGTAAATGAAATGATTACAGGTAGAAGCCTCTGAAACTGCGCCTGGAACTTAAGAAGTAGTCAATAAATCTCCACTGTCACAATCCTCCTGCTTCTGGGTGTCCAGCACAATTGCTCCGGGTTAGGTGCCCTTTCTCGCCCAGCACGTCTACACTCTTCGGTAACTGTTTTGCCTCCCAACCCAGCTGTAAGCGCCCTAATGGCAAAGGACTGAGTCTTTCCCCATATATGATATGAACGAATGAAACAATGACAGTAAGTGATTATACATGAAGAGTAAGTATGTAATAATAAATGACTACACATGATTACTAACATTTACTATTATACACTGAATGTGGTATTTATTTAGAGATCATAGGTGAGAAAAAGACAGATTTAAGTCAGCAAGGAATTAATAACGAAATCGGTTGCCGTAATATTTTGATGTGTAACGTAACAAATTTTATTTTAAGTAACTCTCAAGTTTTATCCTAGAAAGTAACATACATAGGCAATTCTTAATCTTAAAAAGATTCACTTTTGCTACTCAGCAGTTTATTTTCCAAGGTTTTGCAAGACAAAGATACTTGTTCCTCAAAACAAAGAACCACCCAACTGTTCTAGAACTGTGACTCAAGTCTTTTCAGAGGAAGCACTTGAAAAAAACATCTCTATGCGCCTGCACTGACATCTAAGACTGACCATTTATGAGAAAGAAAAGAGCCATGCCTCAGAATACGAACCCACTCATTCACAAGTAGGAAGAGGAGACTCAAATGTTTCCCTTTGGGACTGCATTTTTTTTTAATTAAAAAGCAGTGATGTGGTACCTTTCTACTGGTTCTACTAGTTACAGGAAAATTACCCTCTTTCTTAGGCTATGAAAGCAAACTGTCTTTAGTTTTTTGAGGTGAAGAAAAGAGAAAAACAATTGTGATTTTATTTCAAAAATTTAAAAGGGGGTGTTCTGACTCAAATCTCTCAACCTCCTGAGAGAAGTTCAAGATTAGGGCAGAGGGCTCCTACTCTGTCCCCTCCAGCTGAGTGGGCAGGAGGATACCTGGGCTCCATAGACGCGCTGCATCGCCTGGAGCAGCTGGTTGGTATAATCCGTGAGAGTGCCGGCATCTTCCTCAAACACACTCAGTAAAGAGCGAGTCTGGAAGAAAAGAGGACAATGTTATTTTAAGTGGGAAAGTTACAAAGAAGTAAAACAAATAGGCAGATACACACAGAAATGGGGAGGGAAGATGCCTATTCTCTGTTTTTTTTTATTCCTAATACTGATACAAGTTGATTCCTGGAGCTTTAATTTAGAATTCCTTTTCTAATCCTTTAGACTACAGTGCAAGGGCAAACTGAATACAGTTCAAGTATTGGGAACAGAGAAGGAAAGCCAGTTTCTAAGGGTTAAGACTCAAGGGCTATTATCTGTCTTGACTGTAGCCTCTACCTAAGCACCAGTAAAGTTCACCCAATAAAGCAGTGTTAGAAAGGGCGGCCTCTCCCTTCAAGTCTGTAAACTGAGTTCACTGTCAGTCCTGTCTGTGTGTCTGGGGCGCGGTCACCCGGCACTGCATCATCACAGCAGGTAACCACCTGTCTGGTTTTCTGCAATCTTGAATGTCTTGCGGGAGTGTGTCATTGCTTCCGCTTAAGACACTACAGTCAATCTCCATGTCTTTCATCACATTCTAGTCAACCAAGTTTTTAAACTCATGGCCAGGAAACTTCGTGTACTGTGGGCATGCCAGCAGAAGTTCTGGGCACAAAACTCAAATAGAAACTTAGGAACGCTAGCTCCATTCCTTTGGGAAGACTACTCAGTGTTTCAAGAACAGATGACCAATGTCTTAGATGAAAGGTACTTCCTATCATTTTCATGCAGAGTGCCTGATCTGCTGAGCACTAAGAAAATATTTATATATTGGAAGATGTCTAAAGAAGTATCACGGCATCACATAAGAGACCATGTCTGTTCAAGGGACTACTGTTAATGTGTCCAGCACAATGGGAAACATTAGTGACAATGGGATCTCTATTTCAGAAAACAACCCACGAGGCACAGAACAGAGAGTAAACTACAGAAATGTCTTTAATAAGGTGATACCAGGGCAGCTTACAAAGAACAATCCATTAAGGTGCACAGTTTCCCTGCAAATGAATTTCAATTCCTTCTTTCTTTTTCTAACTTATCTCAGGCAAGAGAACAATAACTGACCCAAAAGCACCCCCCAATAAACTAGAAGAGAAATCCAGGCATTTGAATCATCCGACCTTGGATTTTGTTGACAAACTCTGGGGCACTTCACAGCAGTACGTATTATCCTGGCTTTGCCTGAGGTCTTTATGGCTAAAAATACCTTCTCTGAAACCAGTGAACTCTCTTCAGTACCAATTCCTATCAACAGAAGGATCAGAACAAACAAAACAAAAACCATAGCTGTGACCCAGTGGATCTCTTAATCCATCACTGGATGTCAATGAGTAGGTGAAAAGCATTGGTTTACAATTCTTCATTACATCTCTTTCAAATATACTATTTGAAAAAAAGAAGATTGCTAAAAGATGTTTTTAGAACCTACAGTGACTAGTCTATTACTTCATTCATATATATACTCAGGCCTTCATCCAATATTGGATGAGACACTGTGATGGGAATTGAGATTCAGTGGTGATCAGAACCAACTCTGTTCTCCAGAAGCTTATAGTCTATTGGGGCCTCTCAAAGGCTCTGTGATCCCCTTGGAACCATGTCAGTCCTGGGTCCTAATTCAGGCCCTAACACTAATTTGCAGGTATCCCTACAAGTAAAGAAAGCACTTAAGGTGCCTACCAGCGTCTAATACATAGTGGTATCGGAGGATAGTGATCATGAAGAAGATAATGACTGTCGGCTGCTTATTACACACTGGCTTCACATGTATGATTTCATTTCAACACTACGGCAACAACTTCATCTACATAGTTAACTACTGATATAAACATCAGCTAATAGGAGAGAACCGTTCGGTATTCATGGTGTCAATGATGAAGGAGTCCTTCAACGTTTATTATGATTCGGGTTCCCTTCTTTGCTGTAACAGTATGTCTAAGAGAATGAAAAAGAATGATACAACCAGACTGAGGCTATTTAATTTTTTAAAACACTACTGACATCTATTTAGTTGACTCCTACTTACTGTTTTTAAAACTCTTAGGAACAAAACAGAATGGAAAATGAGCTATAGGATGAAATGAGACGGCTTGTATAAATATCCTCCACAAAGAGAGCAGAAAGAAAACTAAAAACTACCATTTACTCTGTACGTCCTAAGTGTCAGACGCTGTGTCGAGCACTAAACACTACTTCATCTAATCCTTCCACCAACTTTACTAGATACCACAGTTAAACTAACCCCATTTTACAGATGACAAAACTGAGGCTCATCAAGGTTAAGAAACCTCCCAAAACTGGGAAGCAGCAGGGCTGCAATGTAAACCCAGGTCTGGGTGGCACCAATGGCCAACCTTTTTTCCACCATAGGAGTCTGCATCCATCACCCAGTAAAGATGGGTCTCATCAGCGGGCATGCTCCTTGGCCCACAGCCCACCATCTCGTCTGGAGGCAGGACGCAGCTGTCTGGAGCTGGCTTCTCTTTGGCCATCCTACTATCATGCTCTCACCTGTGGTAACAGCTAAAACTACATCACAAATCTTGTTTTCTTTATATCCTGAACATGTTTACCATGATACTCATTAAAACTAACAAAAACTCTCCTATCTTCCCTTTCTAACTGAACGAGGCCATGATCATCCTTGAAAAAAAAATACCCAGCTATCTCAGACACTGTTTTAACATCCACATTTATCAGCTCTATATCTGTTTAAACTTATACATGGAACAACAGGAATGTTCTGAGATATGAAGAAGGAACAGGACCAGTCAAAGGTACACTAGTTGCTGGAAAGTTCTACCAAAATATCCAGAGGACACTGCTGCATATAATTATAAGGACAATAACAGCAATCATTTATGGAGTTACTGTTACATGCAAGCATGAAGATACTGATGCTTTACGTATGTTACTTATTCTCCATAAGAATTAAGCAAGTATTTTATTCTGATTTTACACATGCTGAAACACAAGCTCAGAGAGGTTGAGTCACCTGCTGGATCAAGATTTAAATTCCATCCTTTCTCTACTAGTCTGTACTCTCAAGAGTATGCCTGGACAGAAGAACAAAACCAAACACCTTAGCCTTAGCTCCACACTACCCTCTATCTCAGAATAAAGAAACCAAGCACCATCTAATAAAATAGTCCTATACATTTTTCATGCCTAAAAACAGCATCTAATTATATAATGGCACAATTTTAATAGCTGTGATTATAAAATATACACACACATATGTGTATATTTTATATATATTTAAAATGTTTCAATATTTATCACATATACTATATACAAGTATAAATATTACATATATATGTTTAAGGTAAAAACAAAACTCTTATTCCCATATTATGGGAGAGGGAGAGAAATGTCTTGGTAGAACCAAGTCTACTGAAATAAAAATGTATTATAAACAAAGAGTACAGCAGGACAAAAGTCTTCCACAATGAAGACAAAACCACTAGGTAATGTTCTGATGCATCTTGCCTGAGTTAAAAAAGGCCTGATTTCCCAGCTGGACCTCTCACTGTGTGATCTCAGAACTTAATCTTTCAATTGTCTGTGCTTCAGTGTGCCAACTGCAAAGGAAACAAACATCATAACAAAACAGCAAGCAACAGCGCTTCCCTTTGTCTCAAAAGCACACCACGTACAGGCAAAGACCAGCCCCTGGAGAAGGGCAAGCTGCAGCAGCTCACAGTTGCATTTGTATCCCTATCACAGCGGTGCTCACACAGTGCTGCAACTGCTGCGTCCTTATCTGTCTCCCAAAACAGACTGTGAACCAGCAGAGGGCAGGCACTCTCCTCTTATCTGTCATTACATTCCAGCTTTTACCAGCACTCAGCCAGGAGCAGGGGGCTTCCCAGGTGGCTCCAGTGGTAAAGAACCCGCCTGCCGATGCAGGAGACAAAGGAGACACAAGTTCAATCCCTACGTCAGGAAGAACCCCTGCAGAATGTACTGGCAACCCACTCCAGGATTCTTGCCTGGAGAATTCCATGGACAGAGGAGCCTGGCGGGCTACAGTCCATAGGGTTGCAAAGAGTCAGACACGACTGAAGTGACTTAGCACAGCCAGGATCAGAGGCTCCCAAACAGCAACAGAGACAAGTATCTTAATCCCTAAAATATTCTGTCTCTCATAAAGCAGAGATCAAATTGTGAACATCCGTTGGATCACTGAGAAAGCAAGAGAGTTCCAGAAAAACATCTACTTCTGCTTTATTGACTAGGCCAAAGCCTTTGACTGTGTGGATCACAACAAACCATGGAAAATTCTTGAAGAGATGGGAATACCTGACCACCTTACCTGCCTCCTGAGAAATCTGTATGCAGGTCAAGAAGCAACGGTTACAACTGGACATGGAACAACAGACTGGTTCCAAATCAGGAAAGGAGGACGTCAAGGCTATATATTTGTCACCCAGCTTATTTAACTTACATGCAGAGTACATCAATCAAAATGTTGGACTGGATGAAGCACAAGTTGGGATCAAGATTGCCGAAAGAAATATCAATAACCTCAGATATGCAGATGACACCAACCTTATAGCAGAAAGCAAAGAACTAAAGAACCTCTTGATGAAAGTGAAAGAGGAGAGTGAAAAAGTTGGCTTCAAACTCAACATTCAGAAAATGAAGATCATGGTATCCGGTCCTATCACTTCATGGCAAACAGATGGGGAAACAATGGAACAGAGAGATACTTTATTTTTGCGGCTCCAAAATCATTGCAGATAGTGACTGCAGCCGTAAAAATAAGACACTTACTCCTTGGAAGGAAAGTTATGACCAACCTAGATAGCATATTAAAAAGCAGAGACATCACTTTGCTGACAAAGGTGCATCTAGTCAAAGCTATGGTTTTTCCGGTAGTCGTTTATGGATGTGAGGGTTGGACTTTAAAGAAAGCTGAGCACTGAAGAATTGATGCTTTTGAACTGTGGTGTTGGAGAAGACTCTTGAGAGTCCCTTGGACTGCAGAGGGATCCAACCAGTCCATCCTAAAGGAAATCAGTCCTGAATATTCACTGAAGGACTGATGCTGAAGCTTCAATACTTTGGTCACCTGATGGGAAGAACTGACTCCTTAAAAAAGACCCTGATGCTGGGAAAGATTGAAGGCAGGAGGAGAACGGAATGACAGAGGATGAGATGGTTGGATGGCATCACTGACTAGACGGACATGAGTTTGAATAAACTCTGGGAGTTGGTGATGGACAGGGAAGCCTGGCGTGCTGCAGTCCAAGGGGTCGCAAAGAGTTGGGCGCGACTGAACTGAACCAGAAATAATACATGTACACCCATCAACTAGTCTTATAATATGTTGTGAAGCACTGTGAACTATAAAGAAAAAAGGATGTGAATAGATGTATCTAAGGTCAGTGAACTGTTATTCAGTTCCTCTTGGGTCACTGAGTTTAAACATAAAAGCTTCTGTGTTCATTAATGAATCCTGTGCAACCAGGTTACTAGAGTAACCCTCATAAATACTCCATATAAAACAAGAGGAAACAAACAATAGACGGTTTCTTAAGAACACTTCCTTTTAGTGAAATATTCTAAGTCACCAATAACAGAAAAGCCAGGTGCTAGGTAGCTGGGCTAACTTGAACAACACAGGCAGACTGCCTGAGTTCCAATCCCGGCTCTTCCAGTCTATAATGTATAATCTTGGGGGCAAATTATTTAACTTCTCTGCTCCTTGGTAATTTTAATAGAGGACCTACTTCAAAGATTGTTGAATTAGATGAGTTAATATATGTAAAGTATTGAGAAGAGTGCCTGGCACATAAAATGCATGTATGATACAGGTGTTTGCTATGGTTTCTATTCTTTATAGATAAAATGAAGGAGTTGGATTAGATTCCTTCCAATTATAAGTCTATGAATCTCTTAGGAGGAAAGCTGCATTATGCACAGGCCCCACACAAGAACACTATGCTTTGATGTGTCCTAGAAGTTAGCTTCCTTTCAAACCTCACCAAGAACCCTTATAAGTAATACTCATGTCTCAAAAGCAATGACAAATTCATCACATAAAGAGGAACACTAAAGATGAAGGACAAGGCCTCCACACCTCTTCTTCCTCATGCATGATAAAACTTTAAGCCCCTTAAAGATCATCTGCTTCTCATTCTGCAGATGAGAAAAACCGAGCCAGTCACACGCTTGGGCTCGTGCTGTCGCTCGGTCATGCCCAACTCTGCAACTCCGTGGAGTGCAGCCCACTAGGCTCCTCTCTCTGTCCATGGGATTTCCCAGGCAAGAATACTGGAGTGGGTTGCCATTTCCTCCTTCAGAGGATCTTCCTGATTCAGGGGTTGAACCGGGTCTCTTGTGTCTCCTGCACTGGCACGTGTGTTTTTATCACTGTGCCACCTGGGAAGCCCCAGTCACAGGACAGAGATGAGGAATTCACCTAAATCAAATGGTGAATTAATGTTAGAGCCAGTTAGGACCCAGGTGTCCCGACTTGCTTGCCAGTCCTCTTTAGCCTGCCTCACAGATGAGTACATCCCGAAAACCACTCAGAACTAGTGCAAATTCATTGATGTGAAAGTCAAGAATTCCAAATGTTAACTCCTCGGTGAGGGCAACACTGAGATTCAGTTAGTGCAGCCTCTCTAACCTGGCTCGGCCACCACCATGCTCCATTAGGAAAGCAATGTATCTTTGCATCTCAGTTTCTCCAACTACAAAGCAAGGGGAAATCCTTGTTCAAAATGATAGAAATCCCACTTTATTATCTTCAGATCCCATACAACAGGTGTGAGGATGAACAAAATGACTTCTACCAAGGGCTTTTGTCCCATCAAAATGCCAGAAGTACAGAAACTTCAAAGCAGACTTTGAAAAAGTCAATCAGACCAGAGGATGCCAATTAAAACACAAACAGACAAACAAAAAAATCACAGCTTCCTTACAATTTCTTGACTATGTAAGGAAGATCACAAAGAAATGGGCACAAGTTTCTAAGCACAGAGTCCTTTGACTACTAAGTCTGAAGTGGAGAGATGTAGAGTGGGTAAGTTCATCAAAGGATCAGATCCAGGAAGCCCAACTCATTAAGAAGGAAATTGAAAGGAAGCAAAAATGGAAGAGAAGTTGTGAGAGAAAAACAGTTTTACTCTTAAAATCTTACTCTCATTTTTCAAGAGTTGAGACACTAGGGAATAAAGAGACCTACTTAAATAACCCAGGGATGCAGAACCACTAGGGTAAATAAGAAGCTGGGGAAACGTTAATGAAGGTGAACAAAGGTTCCCTGGGGAAAGGTGCACTGATTTAGGAACTAAAGTCATTCTGCACTCACTATATTTACAGACCAGCTTTCTGCAGAGCTCAAAGGACTTGAATCTCATCTCGGGAGTGCTAATGAAGTTTCCCCGTGCGACAAATGAGAGAGGTATTGTACTGTTACAATTTCCTCTTCACAAATGGGAAAACAGGGCCAAGGGGAGGTCTGGCACCGCTGGGAAAGCGGTCGAGGCTCTCCGTCTCTCACTCCGGCCCGAAATCCACCAGGTCTCAGCGTATCAGCAGCAGTAGTAAGACTGCCTTCTTATTCTGTGCCAGACGTTACTCGCTAACAACTCTACAGGCATTTCTTTAATTCCAACAACTCTAGGAGGCAGGTACAATCATTATCCCTATCTTAACAGATGACGAAACTGAGGCAGAAAAAGATGATCTGCCCGGGGCACTCGGCTAGTAAGCGGTGAGCCCAGGCGCAGGCCAAGCAGCCCCGGTTTCAGCTGAGTTTGGAAAGGGGTCGGGACACAAAGACAGGGGGTCGCTTTCCCGGTGTCTCCAGCTCTGCCTGAGGGATGCCATGTCCCGGAGCATCCTGGGTTCAGGACGCTGGGCCGGGACCCGCCCCCTCCTTGCCCCCAAGGTGGCCCGGCGTACTCCCCGCCTCCACCCCGGGGCTGAAAGGGCCTCCTCGGCCTCAAGCCCTCGGGCGAGGGGGACCCGGGCGGCGGGAGGTACCTGGGGGCTGTCCTGCAACGCCTCCTCTAGCAAGAGCTTGTCCACGGCGGGCATGGTGCCGCGCGGAGAGCCGGGGGCCGGATGGAAGCACGGAGGGCGGATGGCGCGGCAGTCGAGGGTGCTCCAGGCTCAGGCGACGAGCGTATGCTCTGTGCCCTGGGTGGCCGCGCGCGCGCCCACACCTGGCCAGTGGCCGCCGCCGCCCGCCCGCCGGCCCTCCTCTCAGCCCAGCCCTCAGCTGAGCAGGATCAACAGGAAGTGTGGCCAGCGGCCGACGCGGCCACCGGAAGTGTGGCGGTCCCGCTTCCGCCAGCGCCCTTCTCTCGCAGGAAACCGCATACCCCGCCGGGCCCCAGAGAGCCAGTAGAGTGTGAGCGTCGGCGGTTAAGGGGCCGGTGCTTAAGCTCGTCAATGCGTCTAAAGGCCAGGAGGGGGAACTCAAGAGCGGAAGCGAATGAAAGTCGCTCAGTCGTGTCCGAATCTTTGCGACCCCATGGACTCAGCCTGGAATTCTCCAGGCCAGAACACTGGAGTGGGTAGCCTTTGCCTTCTCCAGGGGATCTTCCCAACCCAGGGATCAAACCCAGGTCTCTCGCGTTGCAGGCAGATTCTTTACCAGCTGAGCCACAAGAGCGGAAAGATAAGATTTTATCTGCTTGTGGTACCCAGACTTTTTGAGTAAACGAGATTAAGAGTCGATAGGTTTTGAAAATCTGTGAAATGCTGTGTGAAAATCTTAAGCTCCCCACACCACTTTTTCTAGAAAAATCCCCATGCCCTCGGGACAGCTCTGAGAGCAGAGAGGTCAGTTAGTTCTAGGGGAAAAAAATAGGTTAACTGAATCATCTGTGGTATTTAGAAGTAACCTTTTGGCGAAACCACAGCTATTTGGCCAAAATGGTTAGGTCTCGTCCTCGTGAATTGCAACGTTTTATCATTTTGGAAAATGTCCTAATTAAGTTTTTAGGGTAGATGATCTAGTTCAGTGTTTTCATTTAGAGATTTTTTTTTTTTTAAGGGACCCAAAGAATGATTTGGTCAGAGTCAGTTAATGGAAGCTAGAGGAAGAAGAGAAAGAGGGAAGAGGAGGTGATGGTGAAGACTGGCAAATGAAACTTGGTATCTTCTTATACCAAAGGCAAGGGTTTCAGAATCTCCTCCTTTAGGAATCTAAGATTTTTGTAATAGGACATGTCACCAAAAACAAACAAACAAAAACACCAAAACCAAACCAACAAACAAAAATGGCAAGCAGAATATGATTTTTTAAAAAATACAAATTCTGTGTTTTATAGAAACACCTGGGTATATTAAGGCACAGTCTGAATTGCAAACACCTCTGAAAAGCCAGCGATGTTCTGCCTGATCACTTGAAAGCTCCAAGGCCATTATTCCCTGTCTGGCTCTAGACAGCACTAACCTTTCCTGAGCCATGGTGTAGGCTCCATGGGGAAATCGTCCACCATCCTTCCCCCACCATATTCTTTCTTTTTGTTGGGTAGCATCATGCTCAAACCGTGTTTCTTCCTTTTCCTGTATTTTCTATCAAGTAGCATTCAGAGCTAGTAGTAAAGAACCCACCTGCTGATGCAGGAGGTGTAAGAGATGCTGGTTGGATCCCCTACAGGTAGGGCATGGCAACCCACTCCAGTGTTCTTTCCTGGAGAATCCCATGCACAGAGGAGCCTGGCAGGATGCAGTCCAGAGGGTGGCAAAGAGTCTGACACCACTGAAGTGGCTTAGCACTCATGCACATCATTCAGTTAATTTCACCTCATACACTCTCCCAACTCTTTTGTGACTGAAATCCTTTTCCACAAGGTCAGACTCAAACACTTTCTTCTCCCTTCCTGGCACCAAAGATTGCTACCTCCTCTGAGCCTTGACCGTCATCTGAAGTGACTTGATTGTCATCCAGCATGACTTACTCGGTAGGGCCTTTTCTTTCTACATGCAGGTCTTACTCTGTCTATAAATAGTGAGTCTCTCTATATCACCTTCCCTCTATTCTGAATACTGAGACACATAATAACAAGTACAAGTTTGCTGTTTATAGCACACTCATTTCTTCCAGTTCAGTTCAGTTCAATTCAGTCACTCAGTCATGTCCAACTCTTTGCGACCCCATGAATCGCAGCACGCCAGGCTTCCCTGTCCATCACCAACTCCCGGAGTTTACTCAAACCTATGTCCATCGAGTCGGTGATGCCATCCAACCATCTCAGCCTCTGTCGTCCCCTTCTCCTCCTGCCCTCAGTCTTTCCCAGCATCAGGGTCTTTTCCAGTGAGTCAGCTCTTCGCATCAGGTGGCCAAAGTATTGGAGTTTCAGCTTCAACATCAGTCCTTCCAAAGAACACCCAGGACTCATCTCCTTTAGGATGGACTGGCTGGATCTCCTTGCAGTCCAGGGGACTCTCAAAAGTCTTCTCCAACACCATAGTTCAAAAGCATCAATTCTTTGATGCTCAGCTTTATTTATAGCCCAACTCTCACATCCATACGTGACTACTAGAAAAACCATAGCCTTGACTAGATGGACCTTTGTTGGCAAAGTAATGTCTCTGCTTTTTAATATGCTGTCTAGGTTGGTCATAACTTTCCTTCCAAGGAGTAAGCGTCTTTTAATTTCACGGCTGCAATCACCATATGCAGTGATTTTGGAGCCCAGAAAAATAAAGTCAGTCACTGTTTCCATTGTTTCCCCCATCTATTTGCCATGAAGTGATGGGACCGGATGCCATGATCTTAGTTTTCTGAATGTTGAGCTTCAAGCCAAATTTTCACTCTCCTCTTTCACTTTCATCAAGAGGCTCTAGTTCTTCTTCCACTCCTTTCCAATTAAGAGGAATTTCCCTCAACCTTCCATCTTGCTTTGTTTCTACCCTTCCATTCAATTGGAAACACAACAGTTTTTAATTGCCTACAAAACAAACAATAAAAGTCCTTCTGAAGATAAGAATAGTACAAGATTGTACCAAGGGAGAGATATTGCATGCATTTTTATTTGAAATAGATGTAAAAAGGGGACAGAATACTTGAAAGCTCTCAGAAGTCCCATTGGGAATTACCACATTTTTCATGCACCCCCTCATCTCCTGATTAAAGTTACTTTTCCTCAAACACCAGTATTCAAAATTGTTTAAACTGTGTTCTTACATGATGCTCTTACTTTTCTATGTTTTATTGCTACATTATGGGCTAAACAGCCTTAGTGGGATTTCTTGGCACTTAAGGACCATTTATAAAATTGTTTCTATGAGAAAATGCATCCCAAATTCAAAACAACTAAGTTATAAAACCAACCTGGGAATACAACACATTTGTAAATGGTTAATTCATTTCATTAATTTATCCAATTATTCATTCATTTAATAAATATACCCTGCTAGATGCTAAGCACTGTGTCTCCCACTTATTTTCCTATCTTTTTTGTGGCTCTCATTTAAATTCTGAAGCCAAGGATTCTCCTCTTCAATAGTTAATCTGTACAAAACTATGTAAGAGGAGTTTTTATGTAAACAAGAGACATTTTTCATTATAAGTATCTGTCCCTATGAACCTCTTATGAAGATAGACTTCAAACATCCACCCAGCTGTATCTGAAATCCCTGGACAGCTATGAGGTTACTGACAGGAAGAAGAGAAATGGACAATTTAGAGTTGTCATGTCCTCTGGGGAGAGACAGCTGAACTCTATGGAGCTACAATCTTTTTACCCATTGAAGACCAATGGGGAAAAGTACAAGTGTTGTTTCCATAGGTAACTATCTGTGTGTCCTGTATTAGTCAGGACTTTCTCAGTTGCAACTGACAGAAACTGAACTCCTGTTTGCTTAAAGAAAGCATAAAGGTATGGGAGAAACTGAGGGGTGAGAAGACTGTATTTCTTAGATTATTTGTACACGATGAGGATGAACCAGTGGAACAGGGGAAACAGACGATACAGAAGGGTGGAGAGATAATTGCAGGAACACAATCCTTGAGCAGACAAAAAGAAGTGGGAACCTAGTCACACATGGGGGAAATGGAAGCAGGGACAGAGCATTCAGGTTAATAGATCAGGCAGCAGGTTGGTAGAGTAAATGGAGAATGATGCAGGAGCTCTTTTCTGATTGCTTTTATTTTCACAGGCCTTACTTCACACATCTTTATTTCTTCAACACCAAGCTCAGGACTTGATTTATAATTGGCTTTCAATGAAAATTTGCTCAGTGAGGTATCAGTAGGGTTAAATATGGCTGTAACTAATAAGAAAAAGCTTATGGTGTCAAACATGATATAACTTTATTTCTCTTAATTACTTAAGAAGTCTAGAGGTGGTGGCATGGCCTTCCACAGTATCAGTCACTGATTCCTTCTATCCTGTCCTCTGGCTTCCCTTCCCAAAGTCACTCCATGGCCCAAGATGGCTGCTGGTATTCCAGTCATTAAGTCTACCTTCCAAACCAGCAGGTTGAATAAAGCAGCAGGGGACATGCTTCCACCAGAAAGTGCAGGTACCACTTCTTATATTCCATCACCTAAGCCAGAACTTAGTCTTATGGCCACACAAAGATATGTGGGAAGCTAGAAAATTGACCTTTTCCCAGGCTTAGTATGCCCAGCTAAAACCAAAGACTCTCTTTGTATACTACTGGTGGGGATGTAAAATGGCATAGCACTGTGGAAAATAGTTTGGCAGCTTTTCAAAATATTAAACATAAAGTTATCAAATGACCCAGCAACTCTTTCCTAGTGTAAACACAAGAGAATTGAAAAGCTCTGTCTGCACCAAAGCTTATATGTGAATGTTCAGGGTAGCATTATTCATAATAGCCAAGAAGTGGGAAACAACCCAAATGTTTATCAATTATCGATAGATATGGCTTCCCTGGTGGCTCAGGGGTAAAGAATCCACCTGTCAATGCAGGAGACATGGGTTCAATCCCTGGTCCAGGAAGATCTCACATGCTGTTGAACAAATAAGTCCATACACCGCAACTATTGAGCCTGTGCTCTAGAACCCAGGAGCCGCAACTACTGACACCTGCGCACCCTAGAGCCCATGCTCGGC